AATCTCTAAAATGCCTCTAACATTGTCTTCAAGAAGAGAAAAAAGCCTAAAAGTGACTCAAAATTTGTCCAAAATCACACCAAACATGGCCATAATAGTAGAAACTTGACTAAAATGTGTCTGAATGAATGAAATTATGTCAAAACTGACTCAATGTGTGTCTAAAACGACCTAAAATTTGTTTTAAATGATAAAAATTTGTCCAAAATGGCTCAAGATTTGTGTAAAATAGAAAATAATTGACCAAAATGAAATTGTACCAAAAAAAAGTAATTAAAGGTACAAAATGTTGACCCACCTTATGGACATAAAGCACCTACGACTCTAAAATGCCTCAAAACTTGTCCAAAATACCAACATGACTCTTAAATTGAATCATTTTTTAGGTTAAAAGTCATGTGAGCCAAATATATTGAAGGAATCAGAAATCCTCGGCCTCGTATGTGACTGTGTGACATGTTTTCTCCTCTATGTGGCAGAAAAAAATGATTTCATGGCTTGAAAAGGGACTTATATATATAAATATATATAAAATAAAAAGGACGGCGTTCCCGAGGAGCTTTTAATAGGCCCGTGGATCGATCCCGGAGGCTGCTCACTGCTCCAGTGTGCTGGGCTGAGATAGAAACAAATCAATGGCGGCATCTGAGAAACGTCCAATTTATTCTGATGAAGATGGTGATTGACAGCTGCAGGGAGACAATAATGCAACATCAGATATCGGCGAAAGGCTCCATGAGGCCTGTAGCTCGGCAGGAACATCACTGAAATATTAGTCTATAGGAATCCGATTGATCCACGAAGGCATTTTACAGCAACACACACGTCAATGTCACACCACGATAGTGAATATGTGGACACAAGTATGAGGACACTCAGGAGCTCCACATAGAGAAACACCTCGAGACAGACTCAAATGTGTCCAAAATGACCCAAATGTTGTTTTAAAATGACAAATATTTGTCCAAAATAGAAAAAGAAATTGTCCAAAATGAATCAAAATTTGTTCTAAAGGTTTAAAAAATGCTGAAAAATTGTCCAAAATCACACACAGTTTGGCCCAAATTGCAAAAACGACGGATTTATTTCAGATTTCATGTGTCCACCTCCTGGACTTATGAAGTTATTATTATGGAAAAGTCATTAAAAAGAAATTTCAAACCACCTCTATGTGCTTCAAGGTCTGTAAGTCCAAAAATATTCACAGCATGAAGGTAAAACTTTGCACAACTTCATTAAATATACTAAAGATTTTTCTTGTTTTGGTTGAAAATAAATATATATAGACATATCTTAAATATTTTTGATAACGTATGAGCTAAATATGGAACTTGAGGCGAGTGAACAGACGTCTGATGGTCTGTTTGGGATCCTGGAGCCCTTATTGTCCGAAACAGCAAAAATATGTTTAAATGGAAACGACATATGTCCAAAATATCTCCATTTGAAATCACGGCATCAATACCAAAGCTAAGTTAACAGCAAAAACATGTCCAAAAAGACTTAAAAGCTCGTCCAACATAAAAGAAACTTGTCTAAAATGGCTTATAGTGTCCACCATGAGTGAAAACGTGTCCCAAAGAACAGAAACCAGACCACAAAGACTCAAAATTGGTCCAACATGACAGAAAAACTTGTCCTAAAACACT